AAAGGCACTTTACACGAATTTTCCTCACTTCATCCAGGTGGAAACGGGTACCCGGCCATAGACAGCGAAAGATCTTGTCAGTTTGTTAGAGTGCCATAGCTCTGGCACGATCAAAGCCTCCCAGCTTTCGTCTTGGTGACACGTTGATGCGATAATGGATTTTGCGCAAACGACGGAATATAATGCCGCCAAAGTGAGCTCTGTTTGAGACCGTACGTCCGTTTTTGACGTGCACCATACATTTTCGCTTAGGAATGCCCGTGGTGTCACACACAAGTCGATCAAAACCAGCAAATTTGGCTAAAATTCCCGGAGGATTTCCGTGCAGCACGTGATAGTTTTGCCTCTTTTGGAGGCATTGCAGTATGCATTGGTAACCCATTAACACTTTCAGAGCAAAAATTTTTTAAAATCATTTCTTGTCTTTTTTTCTAGTTTTTTTTATATATTTTAAATCAGGGCTGTCTGTCAAGGTGGTGCTTAACTTATGGTGAAGTCTGTATAACGAGGTATACGCTCCTATGGAGACCAGAAGAAGCACCCCAAACACAGTATCAAAGTCAAAGCTTCTTCGAAGACCTTCGGGTGGCGTCGGTGGCCTAGTGGTTAGTCTACCGGGCCCGTAGTCGTGTGATTGCGGGTTCAGGGGTTCGAGCCTCGGCCGGTCCGACTTTGTGCCCTTGGGAAAGCAAGCACTTTACACGAATTTCCCACTTGGCTCAGTCCTTTCGGAGATAGACGTTAAACTCGGAGGTCTCGCCTCTTAAATAACCTAATAGTGTTAATAGACGTTAAACTCGGAGGTCTCGCCTCTTAAATAACCTAATAGTGTTAATAGACGTTAAACTCGGAGGTCCCGCCTCTTAAATAACCTAATAATGTTAATAGACGTTAAACTCGGAGATCTCGCCTCTTAAATAACCTAATAATGTTAATAGACGTTAAACTCGGAGGTCCCGCCTCTTAAATAACCTAATAATGTTAATTATAGGGGCGATAAACCAATACCATAAATTTCAGCAGTTTTCACTACTTCTGACAGCCTTCAACATCGGCCACCCACTTTGGGAGCAGATTGTTCAGGACAAACGTTTCGAAACTGGCATTGCAAGGTTCCTTCACACCATCTTTTCTTTCCTTTGATTCCCTCTGTTCTTTCTGTCTGCCTGTTTTACTTTATTTCTGCAAAAAAATGCGTTTATTATGTCAGTGTGCTTCTCTCTACAAAAAAAAAAATATCGAGACAAAAGCAAATAAAACCCATTACCGACCAACCAACCCAC